TTTATGTGTAAGCAACTTTATATATGAATAGTTAGTGATGATAAAAACAATTGTGATGTCCGACAACAATTTTCAACGTATTTGACTCGTTTCTTTTTTTCGTTGTCTTCGCTAGTATTTCCTATTTGGGTAGGGCTTTAAATTTAACTAACGGCCACAACAAAGGACGGCCGCGCGGACTCATATTTATCACAACGAACGGCTATTGAGATTAAACAAAGACATTAGCCGCCATTCAGTTCAGCACGACCTTTAATAAATTAAAAATTAAATGTAGTTAATTATTTTCAAATTAGGTACAAATTCATTGATAATTTAACGTTACATTACATTTCTATTACATTTTGTTAGCAGAAAATTATTATTATTAATTAATTATGAATTAAATCAAATAAAATTGAATTTAAGGTACAATTAAGAATTAATTAGTTAGTGGATTCACTCACTTTCGTTAGAAAAAACCAATGTCTTTTACGTATTATGACAAAAAAATCATCTACTCTATTCACGAAGAATATGCTAGACGCACTACACTGCCTATATGGAGCCTTTTCTATCTTTTTTCACTTCCTTCACCCGTACACTTTGTAAATATATTAGACATTTTTTAAAAGGTTATAAAGTTACATTACTATAATTTTCTATGACTATAATTATGACGGTACACCCTCGAAAATCGTAGATTTTTTTAGTGACCAATTAACGGGATGAATAGTCGTGCGTCTGGTGGTAAGCAACGCGCCTACCAGTAACAGTTGCAGTGCCACTCAGAGCTTTAAATCGCAAAGATCTAGACTCAACTCCCCACACGTAGGAACACGAAAAACCCCCAAATGAGTTGTTTTACAACTCTATTCCCCACAACATCCCCAATCAAGTTTGTAATCACTGTCGCCGATCACTTTTTTAGCCTAATTTGGCACCACTGTTATTAAAAAGGAACACTTAGAAAAAAATCATTAAGATCCGGTTGGATTCGAACCAACGTCTTCTAGCAAACCGTGGCAGACGCCATGACAACTAAGCTTTGCTAGACGTTGGTTCGAATCCAACCGGATAGAAGTGATTTTTTTCAAAGCGTTCAATCTTCGTTTAATAAATTATTACAAACTAGTAGAGTAATTTCGTAAAAAAATAATGGAATATCGTGGAGGTGAAATATCCTTACATTCAATAAAACTTAATTATGTGGAAAAAATATTTTTTCTTCTGGTGGTAAGCGACACACCTGTCCATAACAGTTGCAGTGCCATTCTGAGCATTCAATCGCAAAGATCTGGAACCTGCCAAGTCCCATGTGCCTTCAGGTTCACCACAAGAAGTAACGTGACCATATCTATGTTCACGTTACTTCTTGGCGGTAGAAATAGGTTAGGTGACAGTATTTCCCTTAACGTTTTTTTTTTCCATCTCAGCCTACCCGCCTGAGCACAATGATTGAAGTTACAATTTTAAATAACTAATTTAGTCTCGTTGTGATTGGTTCTACAAAGAATCTTTTTAGGCTAAATTTATTAAAATCAATTTTCTTTTTCAATGTACAGTGATCACAGTAGTAACTAGTGTTGAGTCATTAAAAAAATTCCATTTTGAAAAAATCATATTTATCAGGAGATTAAATAATTTTTCGGATATTTTTCCACATTTGACGTTGACTCCTGTCAAAAGTTGAAGTTACTGAACGAAAATGATTGCGCCATTATTTTTTGTAAGTGGCTTATAACTGTATAAGTTTATTTTAAAATTGACGCTAAACAAAAATTCAAAAGATATTTCTAAACGTAGAACATATTGAGCCTTCAAAATTATATATTTCCAGGTTTTCCAATTTTTCGGGAAGTTTCCACTATTTAAAATTTTTCGGAAAATTACCCAACAATAGTAGTAACTACCAATTTCAATAGACCTTTTCTCATTCATCTCTATTGAAAGCTGAAACCAATTCACAAAGGAAAAGTCGTTGTCAGCTATCAGATGTACGTGGATCTCACAAACGGCGATTACGGGATAGGATTCCGCGCACGCTCGCCTATTTCAGACGCCAGATTCTCGAAACACTTCTTATGCAACACGAGTGAGTAAGTTTTTCGAAGTTGTTTATGTAAGACGTCGAGGGATGGCAGCCTAATGGAAGAACGGTTGTTTCTTAATTAAGATGCCGATGGTTCGGATCCCTATGGAAGCGTGTACATAGGGCCTTAACTATTAAGATACGTATGTATATACCTCTCGATTAAGGACCATTCTGTATACCACTGGCTGATCTGGGATCAGACCCTTAACTGAGAAGTTTCCTGTGCACGCAAAGGTTATAGTGTACCCTAAGGTTCGATCGGGAGGGTCACTATAATCAAGACTAATGTAGAAACATATGGTGCTGACCCACTGTTGGAAACGAGTCTCCTCAAAGAGAGTGGCTGTTCTAACGCGGGTTGGGTTGTGAACCTTCTTTGACAAGCGGATTTCAATACAATGGTCCAATTTCAATGAATCCCAGGTCTGATCCCAGATCAGCCAGTGGTATACAGGGTTGTCACTGACTTCACCCGGTTCTCAAGAGGTTAGTGCCTCGGGTGAAAGGCGCCGGGGGCACGTACAGAGCCCTCCCTATTTTCCATATAGGTACCGGAGCTGTAGGTACACTTACTTCCTGTTGCACATTACACAACCAACGGTTGCCAACGCTAATACAACGCGCCTTCCAGTAGTGGGACGTATGAATGAGATCTTCATCTGTTATTTATTTTGTAGACCATCATAATTGGACTGAGAAGTATAGCCGTAATCAGGAATAGCACCCATTTGTCTCGTCTAATTTTATAACTATTTTACTCGACTTCAAGACAAGGAGGTTCTCAATTCGACTGTATTTTTTGCACAGACCACATAAATACTCATAATAGACTGGTTAGTGGGCGAGGTCCGCGTTACCTAGCTTATGATCAGACGGTGATATGAGTGTCAACAGCGCGTCTGTCGTCGGCGCGAATTGTGCCATTATATCAAGTCGCGTGAGAAGCCAAAGTTTAAAAAATACTTCCGGAGTGATTTCATTTCATCGGTAAGTACTAAAACTCTGTGTCTGTTTCTAATATTTTGAACAATACAATACTATAATTTCGAAACAAAACTATTTTCTTGCAACCCGGTAATAACAATATACATTGGTTGCTAGCCATCGCCGCCGTCAAATGAACAATTTGAATGACGCTCAATGAATTGCTTGCACTAGCGTCGTATTACACTTGGTACTGTGTCCGCGTGTTGTAATCAAATTATCGATATGTAGAAACTCTGTATTTAGAAATCCGGTTTTGGTTCAAGTTTTTTTATTTTAGCGGTACCAATGTGTAAACATAAATTATTTGCAGGTGTTTAAAAGCTAACAATTTTGATCGTTTAGATTACTTAAATGTTTGGTCCTAACACCCGCATTTTTTTAAAATTTGAAATCTAAGTAAAAACGATATATTAATGGAAAAAAAAGGAAATATAGATAGAAGAGGCACAGTATCGATAATTTTACAATGCACGTAAGCTCGTGGAGTATATAATGAAGACTTTATGTCATTGGAGATTTTCTTTCCCTTATCTACATGATTCCTATTTCACTACTTGCTTATTATTTGTCACCTTCGTCCGCTTTAGTTCTTATTTTTGTCACAGGCAAGATTTACATTTGCAGTTTTTGTATTGATTTTTTTTAGTTTCCCGCCGGATCCTTTTTAAAAGAGAAATGGGCTGAAGCAACTGGCAGTAAAAGCTGGGTACATACTAAATGTAGCACCATTTCGACGCCGGAAAGCGATCTTGTCGTATCTCGAAAAATAGGACTTTACACCAGGGCCGAAAAACTATTTCAAAAAATTATTTCTCTTTAATTTGAATTAGTAGAAAGTCAATTTTAAAGTATGATTATGTACATCATACTGTATAACAAATTTTGCTATAGGCATTTTATGACATCACATTAAATTATACACATATGAATAACAACCGAACAATTCATTAAGAAATGAATCATTTGGTTAATCGGGTAATATATGACTTGAAACTCAGAGTCGTCTTCACAAATTATAAACCACATCTAAATGTGAAAACATTTCTGAAGCATTGTCAGTTATTTTTTGTCAAGTTTTCATGAAACAAATGATTCGCTTCTTCGCCTTCGGAAATAAATATCTTCATTTTTCTTGACAAGCTCGTCGACGCTATAGATGTAGTCATGTTCAATCAGTTCAGGAAGAGGTAATTGTCGATCAAATATATCATATTTCAGGGAGAACAAAGATTTTTACGATGACTGTGTTTTAATATTTCAACCCTTCAAAGTGATCGGATTGACTTGAAATGTAGTAGGTTAGTGAAAGTACGATGACAGTATAATAAATCATCAATGCTGTGATTGTAGCACGTCGCTACGTATACGCACACGCCTGCGTATCTAATATCAATTAATATTTGCATGTAGTAAAACCTTATGCGTATTTGGTAACAAATATGTGAATGTAAAAGTTAGCTAAGCTAGTTCTCGAAGAAATTGCTTTAAATGCCGTTTCCATATACTCCGTAGTTAACCCTAATTATAGCAAATTATAAAACAATGCCTAGTTCAATATTCCGCTGGTTATGAAACATAATATCGATATCAATTAAATGTCACATCCCTATCTGTACATTGTCAACTTTTTGATTTTGTTCCAAGAAGTTTATGTTCATAGGATTTTTAATTTTTTTTGTGACTAGTAATAATAAAACCTTATTAGATCCAAATAGGTTTCAATTCTTTTTACCAAAAGTTTTTTATTATTGTCTATTTTCGTTTGATAATTTATAACCAATCAAAATAATGTTATCTTATTGTAAGATTACGTTTTTTACGTTTAGGTTTTGATACAAATGTAGCTTGATGCCATTTCCATTCTTTTCTTTCTTCCAGCATAGCATAGTCATCGAAGTTCATCGAACACATTATTTAAGCTTAAGAGGGTACCTCAAAGAACGAGAGAGAGTTACTAAAAAAAGGTACGTTATTAAAAAGTATATATTTACAAAGGCGATGAAATTATAAAAATAATGACACAGTTTTATATAACACAAAATAAATGGTCTGACAAAAAAATGATAGCACAGAAGTATTTTACAGTACACATTTAATATTATTACTCAAACAGTTTATATGACACATGAATACAACGTTAAGAGCGTCGTTATCGACTAAAGTGTCATACACAATGTCCTCGCTGTATTGTTAAAGCAATTTAATAACATAGTATACCTGAGAACTGCGTGTAGACTATATGTATTGTAACAAACTGAGCATATTAGGCATAGTGTATTGTTTCCGGACAATTCCGACCCTTAAATGTATATACAGACATCTTGATACTAAAGCGTAATATTCCGCACGATAACAGTGTAAGAAAGAGACTGCGGAACTCATCTTCAAGGTCATACAAGAACAGACGGAGTAAAATCGACACAGATCCGACGTCGACAAGCGCCCTATTGCGACGGGGCAGCGGATGTCATTGATCAGTTTGCAAATTTTGGGATAAATGTGAATTTATTAACTAATAGGGCTTCGGTAAAATATCAAAATTTAGCAGGTTCTCTGTAGTACATACACAGAAATATCTCAACATTAAAATTATGTACAAAGTTAGATATTTCATTCTTAAATAATTCATTTTGGACTTTTATTTTACCCTTTTTTAGCACGTTCTTTGGACAATATCCTTAGGTGTATCGTATATTTTTTGCGACACAAATATCTCGCTTTAAAGGATTCTGTTATAACTCTTTGAATTCCCAAACCTCTAGATTTGCTTCAGGTCTGGTCGAGTCAATTGTTACCCCAACCAACAAGCAATTTCAAATGTACTTTCTGTATTTGATGCTTTCATAAACTGTTTTTGATGATCATACCGGCAATGAAACTATTAATAAAAAGCAATGAAGCTGCTTGAAAACTTTAATGGTCTTTTATAAGAACACCTTCATATTACTTGACCAAAACTCTAAAGAGTCAATATCAAAATGAAGTAGTATAAAATGAGGCAGGAATGAAATGATAAATGTAAAATATTATTTTTATAGCAACTAAAATCTATCTTTCATCGATAGATTCTGAATTATGCGTAACAAATTCTTCATTGTTACTTAAAATACTATCTATTATACTATCTTCTTCATTATTTGTTGTGTTTCCTCCATCTTCTTTAAGAACTTCATTCAAGACCTCGTCAATTACGCCTTCAGTGTCTTCATTTAATTTCTCTTCACTAATGTCATTGTATTCTTCACTTTTGGAAAGTTCACCGTTCTGTGAAACTAATTCTTCACTATTAGAAGTTACCATTTCACTGCTTTGAGAAACTTCTTCATCTTCGTTGTCTGCTTCAGGAATTTGAAGCATGCCGTTCATTTCAGGTTTCTCAATAATTTCATTCACCAAAGTGTCGTTCTCTTTAATACCATTTGAATGTATATCAGTTCCGTTGGGTACGTTGACGGGAATACTGTTGGTTGTAGGGGCGTTGGAATTTTTCCCTTTAATGGGATCAAGCACGATGTCGTCTTGTTGCTTTGGACCGTTTTGTATTGGAGGAAATTTGTCTCTGAAATGAAAATAATCTTAATAATGTATCAAACAACCACGACAATCACTGTACTATTAGTGCTTAAGTAACAAACTCATCAGTTTCAAAGAGTTAGTTTTCAAAATTCTTTCGACCAGGAATCGAACCCGAGACTTCATTATTAAGCGTCCATAGTACGGTCGCACGGATCACAAAATGTCGTTATATGTAGATAGACACGTTATACATATACAAACATTAAAAAACTCTATAGTAAATAATTATATAGATGTTTTAGACAAACAAATTCACTCAAAATAATCAAAACGTACTTATAAAAGAATGAGTAAAAAGTTTTCAAAACTCTTAAAATAGATTGTTGTTTATTATTATCGTTTAGAAATAACTGAAAAATGCAAAATGAATCGCTTCCGTTGATTTTTGTCCGACAAATAAGCAAATGTTCTATAACACACTTTTGCATAGAGTATTTGTTCTACAATAACCTTTAACTTCGTAATTAACCAATTTTGTATTCCAACGCGGACCTAGTTCCAGACTTTTTGTCTTTTTTTTTTGCCGACAAAAGCCATTTTATTTTTGTGCATTGTATTGGTAAGTATTACGTTTCCGTTACTACTCATAAAAGCTTAACATATTCCATTGACTCATCTCATCAAACTGTCGAAATAGCTAAAATACACCAATGTAGATATTTCCACGCTGTAATTTGTCAGTTTTCTTTCTGTTTGTATATCGGATTTCATAAATGAACCAAGTTTGCATCAATAAAATGTAGACGCTCATGTGAAGATAACAAACAAACTTTTAAAACATACAATCATACACTTTACGCCTTTTCCCCACAGTGGTAGGCAGAGATCTCTGTCTTCCCCATCTTTCGCATCATCAACTCGCATTAATCACACACTCTCGTCGGAACGACTTTCGTGGTAGAGTAGCTTGCACACCGGTTTTCATGGTGTCGCCATGTCTAAAGTCCCGGGTTCGATCCCTGGCCGAGTCATTGTAGAAAACTAACTTTTCTATATTGTCTCGTGTCCTGGTGTTTGTGGTACCGTCGCTGTTTCCGATTTCCATTAAACAAAGCTACTTACTTTAAGATCAAAGCAACGTATATGATGTTGTCTAATATTTATTTATATATTTATATTTATTTATTCTTTCACTTATCCTCTGCATATGTCTCAATCACTTAAGCATCTCTTTTCTAACTTCATTACTACGTCTTCTTCCACGTCACAACGGTCTCTTATCTCTTTTTAGAATAACAACCAAAAACTGGGAGGCTACTTCACCAATATTTATTATGAACGAAATGAATGAGCAATGATTACCTTCTTGTGATGTTTACCTATGTTTCTCCTCGTACTTGCTGGGTACCAGGTAGCAGTTGGACTCGTGCCAAATAACCCTCCGTTTGCTCACCCACGGCCACTGCAGGCTCCAGTTCGAATTCTGGAACGACAGTAACAATGCGCTGTTAGTTTTTATGTGGTGCAATGTTTACATACTCATTAGCAACTCTCGTATAACGCAAACGAAGATAGTTTAATATTTGTTTCAGAGCGTAAGTTTTCGGTTACGATTGCAACAAAAACCGAAATTAGATTTTGCGACGCGAATAATAAATGAGTTAAAACTGATATTTTATTTCTTGGTCTACAAATCACAACGCAATCTTGAGACTACAGTGCCAGCTGCGCCCATTGAAAGTAAATTTAAACGTAAAAAGATTATGATTTAATATAAAAATTCTAGCATATTGGAATCATAACTTCAGTTGTTCCTACAAAAAAAAAATGCTATATTATATGAAATCTATAATAAATTACATACATACGTACCGCTATGCTTATCGTCTATTAAGGTAAGCAGAGATTATGGCCCTTCGGTATGCCTCAAATTAAATTTTGAAAAATGCGTTTGTATATCGAATTTCCACTTAGAGACTTCGGTGGCCCAATTGTTTACACTATGGGCGCTGGATGAGAAGGGCCGGGTTCGATTTCTGGTACGACCTATTTAAGAAATGAACTTTTCTAAATTAGTTCAGGTATAGTACAGGGTATTTGAAGTAAGGATTTAAGAGAAAAGGCAGACCAAAGAAAAGATGGATGCATTGAGTGAAAGATGACATTGACAAGAAAGGTGTGAGTATATAAATGACGGCTGATAGGGGAGAGTGGAAGAAAAATACATGTTGTGCCGATCCCACCTAACGTGGGATAAGGAAAGGAAAAAGAAGAAGACAGTACAGGAAAAAGAAGACAGGCAGGGTATTTCTTAGTTTGAGACCAGACAATTGGTGTGGAACAATATTATTATTATATTGTAACTTACAACTTTGCAGTGGATGCGTCGCTTACGCGCCTTCTCCTCCTCTCTTCTCCGCTCCTCGTCGCTATCGTAGCCCTGCTCCAGCTACAATCAATAAAATGGACCCCTTTACTACTTCAACACCTCCAGTAGAACCCAATATTTTTGTTCTACATGCTGTCAAATCGCATAAGGCTTTTTCCCGGTCAGATCTAAAAATAATGTTCATGGACATTTCACGTGCTTCAAAAAAAAGTTACACGGGGTATCTGCTGGAAATCCTTATGACATTAAAAAGCTCCCCGTATTCACTTGGTATCAAATTTAGCTTAGTGGAGCAGAACAATCATCAAGACATCGATACACAAAACAATTTATAGTTCCCCATTCAAAATGCACTTTAATAGATAAAACGAAGCTTTAGGATAATTAATAGTTTCAGGCGTTACTTTGTAGAAATCCATTATCCGCAAACCGTAGAATTTCTTCGGCCGAGTGTCGAACTATCAACAACTCCTGAGCACGCCTCGTAAAGAGGCGAAACACGTGTCGGGTGTCTTTTTGGTGTTGGTGTTTGTAGAAAAGGATGCTTAGATGGTTCGGACATGTAGAGAAAATTAATGAAAGCAGATTGACGAAACAGGTTTATAGGGTGAGTGTGGTAAGGGCTGACCAAGGCGAAGTTATCATGACCAATTAAGGCCATCCTAAAGAAGGGCCAGGTCAAGAATACCCTTAACCGACGAGCGTGTATGAAAGCACTGATTCCTGTTGACGAGGCGAAGTATATGTGTCAGGACTTTAGCAAGTTTGAGCAAGACTGTTGTCTATGCCTACCCCGATGGGAAAAAGGCCTGAATTATATGTATTTATATATGCATGTGTTTGCAGCTATAGTTATGTTTGTGTATATATTTTATACGGTGAGAGTGTGGTAAAATTCATTAAAAAAAAACATTCAACATAGGCACAGCTATTTTCCACGATTTAACCATACACTGGGTTCGCAGATTAGCAAAGTAATTTACCTCCATTTTTATTAATGAAGCTTGAATTTGCAATATCAAAAAGCGACAGTTATAGCCTCTTACTAGGCTACCACTACCGTCTAACCAATACGTCCAAATATTTTTTTTTTTACTTTAATGCTAAATATTCAAATTCAAATTCAAATTATTTATTTTCTCAGATAACAGGATCCATTGGTGTTAGTAAAAAAATAAAGGAACAAACTTATAGACTATTGTTAGTATGAAATTATAATTATAAATTACTTAGAAACTAAAATGTCATGTACTTACGAGGCATCTCGTGCGGAATCATTGTCCGTACGAGATGCCTCAGTACAGGCGCTCTGTGGTCGTTTGCAACAACTCTCAGAATGCTGTTGCCACTACCCCGGAGCCTACTAACCAAAGATGCTACCTTTCTCCGCAAGACCGCATTAAAGCAGCTTGTATGGGATAGAGCAAACATTGCAGAGGCACTGCAGTACCAAAATATGTAATGACTATTATAATTAAACTATTTCGATTCGTGAAATATAAAAATATAATTCAATTAAGGCTTCATCCATGACCTTAAAGGTATATTTTTAAATAGGAGATGCGGTGTTCCTCAGGGACCTAAGTTTAAGTACCGGCGAACGATACGTGCCGTATCCAACAGCCCCGCTTTCTGTATCTATTGAAGCGACAGGCCACTGAACTCCATGTGAAAGATTTTGTTCATGGAAGTAGTGCCATCTTACCTATTTCTGCGGCCAAGCAGTATCGTGAGCATTACTGCGTTTCGATTTTACAGGGTAAGGGTGCTGGTGAAATTATAGACACATCAACTTATGTCTCAAGGTGGTGCTTCTCAGATCTTTGCTATTTTAAACTCTGAGTGGCACTGCTACTGTTATGAGCAGGTGCGTCGCTTACCACCAGGTGTATAATCCTAACTACATTATTTATACCGCAGCCTTCGCCGGATCCATCCGTCAATAAACAACTTTATCGAGTTTAGCAAGTGAACTTGATCTGAGTTGGGTAGACTTCGAGCTTTGGGTTGTCAGTTGTAAAGAATTGCGTTTTAAACCAATTTCATGGATCAGGTGGCTGGCATACTTTCTATATTCTTCATGCTTTCGCCAAACAATGAACTTGGCTATTCAAAGGGTAAGCGATTCCAGCCCATTGGGCACGACACCCCAGAGCACGATTGTTCGTCCCGTAACTGGTTATCGTAAAAAAATTAAGACAACTGTCTGAAGGCTAAAACTAACTTGCAATATATGTTGTAATTTATAGATTATTAGGTATAGATATTATTTTAAAGAAATGAATAAATTACATAAACTTTATGCATACAATCATTATATTGACATAATTATTATTTAATATGTTGGAATGAAACTATTTTAATAATATGTTCCTACATTATTTCACATAACTACATTGACTATGTTAAAATTACGTTGTACAAAACTTGTACTGGATATTTGTAATTTTTTGAAATGTAACATTTATTACTATTTGTAACGATTCTTGTAATACAATATGTTGTATATAATAATGTAAAGTTTGCAAGATAATAAAATAAATCTAAATCTAAAATCTAACTCAGTCGGTCGGGTCCATAGTGACATTAGGTCCAGATAGGAGCCCGAAATGTTGGTTTGCTTAAAACATTAAATATACGTAATTTAGGTCCATAAAAATAGTTTTATTTTTAAGGATAGATAGATAGACAACACACTTCATTGTTAACACACAAAAAAATTAAATGTTGTTGTAATTCACCTATTTTTCCATTCTGGCAAATG